TGGGAACAAACCTAAAGTGCGGGCAGAGTAGCATGTGATACATATATAGCATTACCTTAGCCAATACTATTTCATGACTCCATGAGCATAGTTCTAGATCTTGAGAGAATTCCTAAAACTTATCCGATACGGTACTTCCAACGGACTAAGAGAACCCATTAAACTAGCGAATAATGAATTAGACAAAAATGCATCGTAAGATAATTAAGAGTCTCAAATATTAATGTAATGTTTAAGTATTTTAACAACTTCAAACGTTAAGACGTACTAGACAAAGAAAGCAATCGTTATTTATAATGGAATAATAATAATAATATTAATGATATTAAAAAAAACTAACGGTCGGCCATTTCCTTGTTCGTAGCTGACGTCACTTTGATACAAAGCGTATTTTATTGAGCGGGAAGGAGAGGGAAGGATTTTTTGGAATTTAAAAACTTCAAGATCTTCCGGCGCGTGAAAGAGAAAGTGTTGAGATTTCATTTTTGTCTTTTACGGTTAATTAAAAAAAATTTAATAAATAGGTGTCTGTGTTGATCGTATTTAACAGATTTAGTTGATATTGCGGGGCGGTCGACGCGCGCTGTCGCCGTTTGCGTCACACTACGAATCGCCAACAACCGACACATCATCGAAACGCGACAGTGCGCGACTCAGCCGCCTTATAATTAGATATTTCTATATACTTATCGTCTATTTAAACAATTACCTCTATTCATTATAGCTTTTGTGAGGAATATTTGATTTGCACAAGAAATAGTAGTGAGAGGCGCACACCAAAGCTGAGCGGTCCGGCGCCATGACACTTCTAGGGTCGACGACCGGACAACCGCTCGCCTTTGGTGCTGCCTCGAAATAAATGTTGTTTCCAATAATTTATAAGAGAGTGACCCCCTCAAGCCTCCGGCATTCACCAGGAATCGGTGGAGTCCCGGAGACTTGGGACTGTCACCCGCACCCCGACTTGGGGAGCGGAATAGAAGTTTTATGAAAAAAAATACTCATTATATAAAATTTAAGCATTACTAACCAAATATTACATCAGTAGTGGTTACTTGGCTGTTTACGTAATTTAATTCATTAATATTTTTCTCGTAATTTATGTGTCTATTATAATTATTAATTTATTGGAATTAATTATAATTGAAATAATAATAATACTAATTATTGAAAAAAAAATATGAAAAATTGTCACATTCTCTTCACTTTATACAATAGTTTTTACAATATGATATTAAATATCCTCAATGGTTGTACCTATACATTTCTTGTTCTAAATATATAAAAAAAATCCAGAGAATTTTGTCTATTTCATTTCGTAGAAACCCTATTGACCTTTTCATCGTACCTGTGCTAGATGGATTAGTATTTAAATGTGGATTTAGATTAGTGTGGAGTATGGACACTACATTTGCTTCTTTTTGGTAGAGCCACAGCAGCTTGGATGACAACACCCACTGCAGGAATAGACCGCCTCGAACGGAGAAGTGTCACCTCAGAGACCAGCATAAATCAAAAGAATAGTTGCACGTTTTGCCGTTGCACGAATGGGCAGGCTCATCAGAGGAAGCGCGTAGCAGGGAGACCAGCATGAAGTGGTACTTTTATACTTTCGCATTTCGTGTTGCAAATGTGGTAACTGGGGCAGACTTTTTGATAGCAACGCATCTGCAACCGCCAAGTGCCGCCATAAGCGGTGAAAATCACTTATCATTGAGTGAACTGCACGCTCGCTTGCCTATTTTCCACATAAAAAAATATATACAGCTCTGCGTAACGGCGAGTGAGGTAACTTAAAAATGTGCTTAGGTATTAAAAGAAAACACCTGGAACACCCCTAGTAATGTATTAAATGTGCTTAGACTGAGAAATGGAGATTGTTACACAGACGTTGATTCACCCTGAGGGTGAATCGCAGACTTTAATATCACTTCGTATTCGTAATTCGGACAAATGGTCAATCCATAATATACTAAGACAAATGATATTCAAAACTGATAAGCTGGTGCCGAAATCTCGAATCTGGAACTTGGTGAAGGCGTATCGCAAAATATACCACATCGCGTCGGAGCCGTGGTGACACTCTGGAAGTACCTAGATGGACTGGTTTGGACTGGCTAAAACTAGAAAATCGTTACTTGGTAGATGCATTAACTATTAAATAAAATAGGTTACACAAACAACTAAGTATAAACTATTTCAAACATATTTTAAAAGCTACCGTAATGGCAAGGTTCTACTATGATGTCGAACAATACATTGAGGACAAGGAATTTGTGGAAATGAATCTTAATCTGCACTTCTAAGTCCCCTGGCTCCTGCTAATTTTATATTTGAATAGGCTAGGATAAAACGACATTTTTAGAAAATTTCCTTTTATCCCTGTTTTCAGGGAATGAAAAATATCATTCGAATATGACGGTTAATTTCGCCGAAAAAAATAAACGTTATAATAGCTCGGTTGGTAATCGGGCGGCTACGAAACAGAAGGCCGCGGTTCGTGTTACGATCATTTACACACTTGTTCCTGTTACTTTTTTTTTTAAATACCGAGCAAACCTCTGTCTTCCAGGTACTAGATATATAAATCACACAATTACACTACAAGCTTTGGTGCCACTGTAACTACGTAGATCTTCAAATGAGAGTTTATTATTGGAGCTTGCTCCGACTGACTGTCAAATTGTTGAGACCACAGGGTCATGAGGCCACATTTTTTTGTGAGAAGGTGGAAGCGGGCTGACTAAATAAATGTACATAAAAGACGTTGAGATTTTCGTCAGTGTGGCAATCAGGCGTCTAGCTTAGTGTTTAAAGACGTGGGTTCGATTCCCGCAGCGGTGAAGAGTTTTTCGCTCCCTTTTCTACAAATTTGTAAAAGTGATGACTCCGTGGCGCAGTTGCCAAGGTATTGCCTTCGGCGTCGGGGGTCGTGGGTTCGATTCCCACACGGGCCAACTATTTGTGTGACCCACAGATAGTTGTTTCGCATCTGGGTGTTTGTCTGCGTGAAATTTATGTTTGTAAAAACGTCATTACAACACAGGATAATATTATCCTAAAGTAATGGCAATGTTTTTAAACTGTAAAAGAAAAGAAAAAAAAAAAATTTTAATGTTTCATCTTATATGCAGAGATTAGCACTATAAAAGTTTAAAATACTAACCTGGATCAGAACTGAATCATTTAACTGAATGTCAAGTATTCGATATTCATAATACTTCACAATGCGTGCAAATCTACAGCATTTCGTAAATAAATAAATATTTAGAACACACTTTTACTAAACGTTCTCTAGTCCCAAACTAAGCAACACTTGTACTATGGGTACTAGATAACTGATAAACACACTCAAACATACTTTTATTTAGTAAATAGATACATATTATAAACATAATAATTTGATGACTCCGTATGCGTCTATATTGAATAAAGATATTTGAATTTGAAAACCCAGATAATGGAAAAACACCATGACAATATTTTTCAAGTAGTGGGGATCGAACCTACACCCTCTGGCGTAAGAGGCAGGTGCTTGCCCACTGACTACGCTATAGTAGCGTACTAATATAAAAAAACATGTAGTGTACATGTTTTTTTATATAAAATACTAATATAAAAAAACATGTAGTGTACATGTTTTTTTATATTAGTACGCCGTATATATAAAACTAAAGGAAAATGCAATAATGCTTGTTAAATGAAATAGCCACGAGTGGAAATCTGAAATCCCTCAATTAAAATTGGGGCTGTCCAGCCCTTTGATATCTGCCACCCTCCCATCCCAACCCCCTTTGCCTCCGGATGCGCCGAAAATTTCCCCCGCTTTTGCATGGCGAGTAGGTTCATTTAGGCGATCGGAATGCTAGTTTTAATAGACCCTGCGATAGACGAAGGTATATTAGTAACTATAGTAATAATTTCGCCCTAACCCGCAGCCGTTTGATCTCCCCTAGGACTTCCGTCTGGTTGGGCCCTATTTATTTACTTATTATATACAATATATATCTATATGTTTATTTTTATTCATACACCAAACCAGAGAAAGTAAATTATAATAACTTTCATGATAAAATTATAGTCATGTTTTAGAGAAACCCTGTAAATTATAAAGACTTTGTGATAAGTTTCTCGGTGGTAGGGCCAAGCAATTGTGTTTACTGTTACACGAGTGGGCAGGTCCGTTTGGATAAGTATCACGACCTCACAGAAGACCTGAGTAAAGTAGAAGTGTTACACTTCTGCGTTTTGTCTGGTGAGTGAGGTAGCCGGGGCCCACTTTACTAAAAGGTGACAGAAGCTTCTGCGTGTCTCTGCTTGAGTCAAATTATTTGTATGTAGAGTCAATTTCTATGCAGTTACTATAATATAGTTTGGAAGACTGAAACATTAAACGGATGAAAATAAGATTAACTGAACGACAGACAGAGACCTACGAGTACCTACGTATTTGAATGTCTCGAGGTTTTATATAAAAAAGTAAAGTAACAACCTATAAATGTCCCACAGCTGGGAAAATGCCTCCTCTGTACAGAGCGTATCAGGCCATAGTCCCACTGCGGATTGATGAAATATATTTTATTTTGTAATTATTTCGTAAACATGCATGTTTCCTCACGATGTTTTCCTCCGCTGAGCAGGTAATAAGTCAGCACTTAAAATTAACAATTTCATTGCTGCCGGCATCGGGGATAGTACTCGGGTTGCTAGAATATATTGAATTAAAGGCGAGCGATAAGAAAAGCGATGACCTCTGAATATTAGTCGTAAAACAGTCGACAACGTCATTTTAGGGATAATCTTATAATTTCGCACTTTGTTTTATATTTGGTCATCTCAAAGTGAACTGATCGAGTGTTGCAAGAACATTGACGAAGCGATTTTGCCATAGGCCTGTAAAATCTGTACACGCCAGTCACATAAAAGGTACTGAGCAGACACGGGCTGTGAGTTATTACATTAGTGCGACACGCGTAAATTCGTCAATAATTAATTACGAAATGCACCCCATAGCGAGGGTCGGCGGTGAGGGGGCACGCGCCACCCCGTGCGTTGACTCGAACGGGGCTCAGCGATATTATTATCAACAGCAGACTCAACGAATCGGCATGATACCAAGAGATACTCAGGTGGGTAGGTGGTGGGTTTGCGGAGATCATTTCGTTTACAATACTGACTTACTTGCTCTAAGAAGGTCAACTTTACTAGCTTAAGCTCTCAGCTTCCTCACCTTACCACGTTTATGACGGCTTAATTTTTAATTATATAATAATACATATATTATATATTTTTATAGAGATATTTGAAGTCGGTTTTGTTATTCCTTAATAAAAAATGGACTTGTCAACATAGCGTTGCATATTTCGTATAATATATAAACGTAAAAAACATCTTCAGTAACGTAAAGAATTAACGATGGACACAGAGTGGCAAAGGCGTTGTCTGCCGGAATGTTGCAGAATACCATTGACTTTTAATTTTGTTTATGTGAAAAGTTGCCAAGCTAGCAGGCGGTTCACCTAATGCTAAGTGAATTCCGCCGTCCATGGACACATAATGACAGATGCGTTGACAAACTTTTAAAAATTGGGCTCCTGCTACCTCAGTCACCAGACGAAACGCGAAAGTATTTGTTATACTTCCACTTTACACCGATCTTCTGTGAGGTTGTGGTACTTACCCGGACGACCCATTCGTGCAGCGGGGCTGCTGCTGCGTACATTAAAAATGGTACGATGGTTTTAAAATTTGGTGGTTTGCCGTGGTGAACGGTGGTGCACCTGAACAGAAAGTAACCCGGACAATGAGACAGAACACGAACAGACAAACTCTTCCTCCAAATGCCCGTTAATGCATAGAATTTGTAACGACTTTTGTAGCATAAGTAAATAGTACCCGGAGGACCGAGCTTTGCTCGGTTTGGTTTTTTTTTCTAAATCTTGTATTTTGGAAATTACATTTAGATACAAATTACTGAGTAATGAAATACGCATGATATTTTTCGATCTTACCGACTTAATAATAAGAAAATATGAACTGATGTTTTTCACAAAAGAAAGAACTTTAAAAAAAAGGGAATAAAATAACAAAAAACAAATCGACAAAAAATTAAAAATAAAGAAAGCAATGATCTGGAATCGAAAAAAAAGTAAAAAAATAAATGTGTAAATCATCGTGACGCGAACCACGGCCGTCTGTTTTGGGGCTGCCCGATTACCGACCGAGCTATTATGACATTTTCTCTTGCGGCGAAATTTACCGTCATATTCGAATGATATTTTTCATTCCCTGAAAAGAGGGATAAAAGGACATTTTCTAAAAATGAAACCTAGCTAGATCGATTTTTCGCCCCCGAAACTACGCACATACTAAATTTCATGAAAATCGCTGAAGCCGTTTCCGAGATTCCCATTATATATATTATATAAGAATTGATAAGAATTATCTTAAGAATTATATTATATTATGTATAGGAATTGATGATAATTATATAAGAATTGTATAAGAATTGCTCGTTTAAAGGTATTATTAGATTTAAGTGGAATGTGTTGTAAAAATGTTTCTTTGTCTAAATGGTAAAAAATTGCCCCGCTGAGTTTCTTTTGTCGTATATTCTCAGGTGGCGTTTTTCCCGTACTATGTGTTAGTATTTTGTGAATCAGTAAGTAGGTGTAATGTTTCTAAATAGAATAAGCCAACCGAAACTAATGTGAGACAAATGAAGGAGAAAGAAGATAAAAGGACGAGAAGTGTAATCCCGGAGTCGCCGGACATTCCTTATTTGGAAGATGGTTTCTTTTACGTTTTTCCAAGATCTGGAAAGAAAGCGATTGCATAAATTTCGAGTATTTTTTTATGTGAAAAGTTGCCAAACGAGCAGACGGTTCACCTGATGGTAAGTGAATACCGCCGCCCATGGACATCTGCTACACCCGAGTGTTACAGATGCGTAGACGACCTTTTGAAAATGGGCTCCGGCTACCTTACTCACCAGACGAAACGCGATTTTACGTTATTCCTCTAATGTTTCTGTACATATTGTTTTATAGCCATTTATTTATGATTAATTTGTTTGAGACAACCTTACTGGTTCCGTGCAAGTACTTAAACAATGTAAGTGGCGTGGAAATATACATATCCCACTGCTGGACAAAGGCCTGCTCTGTACAGAGGGAATCGGGGCATAGTCCACCACGCGGCACCACTGCGGAATGGCGGACTTCTAAAATATTTTCTAAATACGTTATTTTATTTTCAATTTTTATTTTAGTTTTACTTGTACCTTACACATATTATATGGTCTAAAAAATTTATTGTTATTAGTTTCTTCTTTATGTTAGAAGATGACAAGCGAGCTACCGGTCCACCTGATAATAATAACTGCCGCCTATGGACAATGGCAACACCTTTTAATAAAGTGAGCCCTGGTTACCTCGCTCACCAGGCGAAACGCAGAAGTACAACACTTTCACTTCACGCCTGGTCATCAGCGAGGTCGTGGTACTTCAACGGACCTGCCCATTCGTGCAACAGTGAAGTCTTGCGTGGCTAATACCACAGTAACGCCCGGTTTCCGAAACACTGATCAACGTAGATGTCAACTAATCAGCTGTCAAATGAATTTCAAATTTCATTTTAGTTGCCAAAAGGATGTTTAAACTCTTTGAATTGATCATTCTAATCATAAAGAAGATCATTCTGGTCAATTCAGAGAGTTTAACCATCGTTTTGGTACCTATATTGTAATTTGAAATCCATTTGACAGCTGATTAGTTGACATCTACGATGATCAGTGTTTCAGAAACCGGGCGTAAGAATTTATTTATTTAACACTACATTATTGGATAATATACAAAAACTTAAAAACCTTTAATTTATTCATGCACCTACATACTCATAATGTCCTATAAATTATTCAATTGCTAAGTGCATTACAAATTAATGATAACCAATAACTAAAAGCCGATTTTAGGGGAGTACCCGTCTATATTACTTCTAACAGCTTATTAATATAGCATTACAGCTTATTAATAATTTAATTTAGATTATTGTATTCATTCTGTATTTTTGTATATGCACTTCTGCTTGTCAGTCTTTAATTTTTTCTCAATTTTACTGGAATTATTTGCCTTTTAAATATTTTGTATAGTTCTTGTATTTATCTGAAATAATGCTGTGTCACCTAATAAAGTACTTGTAATAACAGACATTAATACATCAGATTTTTTGCTGTTGGTGCACTTTAAATAAATAAATAAATAACAGCACAGTCCGAAGTTTATAATTTCTCATATTAATACGAATATAACACATTGTATGTAAGATATTTTACGATTTTTATCGTGATATTATAATCGGTTAATTAGATTGGTTGAGACAAAATCAAAAAGATGGTTCAACTAGTTTGGCTAAGACAGTCTAAAGATACCCCTTAGGGTGACTAGATAACGTGACGTCAGCGCAATCGGGTCAACGAACCCTGTTCTTGTGGTGGCACCGGGTTCAATGGCCTTGACTAATTCGGGGGTGCATTTTTTCCACAGTCCCCTTTCGATACAGAATATACATTTTCTGTGACTTTAGGGTGGCTTTGTCACGACCATCGCTAAGGAACATATCGAAAAATTTTAGGGAGCGCCATGCTTCATAGCTATTACTAAAATTAACAAACGAACCGTGGTAACATTAACTGTGTTAGGGCCACAACAGTCTTCGCTGTTGCACGAATGGGCAGGTCCGTCCGGGAAAGTACCACGACCTCACAGAAGACCGGCCTAAAGTAGAAGTGTTATACTTCTGCTTCTGGTGAGTGAGGTAGCCGGGGCCCACTTTATTTAAAGGTGACAGCGCATTAACCCTACGGGTGTTGCAAGTGTCCATGGGCAGTGGTCATCACTTAACATCAGGTGAACCACCAGCTCGCTTGCCACATTCTACCATAGAAGAAAGTGGAGAACTTCCAACTAAGCACTGAAATTAAATTCCCTTGTGTTCGATGAAGGAGAATAATCTCCCACGTCTAAAATTCATTCTTCAACACAAAATGCAAGATACGAAAAAATCAAAATCCTAATCATTTATTCACCGGCATAAGAAACATACATTTCATGTATCGATAGTTTTGTAATGAGGTTCCTCTAACGGAGAAGAAAAAGGCAAAAGTTTTGTTCGTCAACATTTGAGACGAAGGATAAATAGTGTTTAGTCCTTTCCAGTAGTTCAATATTTTCTTTTTTTAATTTTCCGTATATCGCGATACAAGTAGGGAAATGCATATAGCGAAATTGAACATAAATAAGTATGGATCATAAAGGAGAGTTTTAGCGATAACGAGTCCTCTGTCTAAAGCGAAACCTCTCCGCTAAAGGTGACGGTGCCGGTTATAAAATAAATGATTTTGCAAAAGACCAATGGCGGCGTCCTGTTTCAATTCCACGCGGTTTCGCGGGACTAGCGAAATTCCCAGGCAACTCTAATGAATCTCACTTATGAACCGTCAAATTTTACACCAAAATTTATGTATATAGGTTCGTAAGGTACCACACACAGAATGAACACAGAACACATGGAAACACGACTCGTATGTATAACCGTTTATTCACCAACTAGCGACGCGCCCCGGCTTCGCACGGGTGGAATGTATTATACATATAACACTTCCTCGTGAATCACTCTATCTAGGGAAAAAAATCGCATCAAGATCCGTTGCGTAGTTTTGAAGATTTAAGCATACAATGCATAAGCAAGCATACATACAAGGGACAACAGACAGCGGAACGACTTTGTTTATACTATGTAGTGATGATAAACAATCCACATCATTTACCCGCGTTGTTACAGAGAGACGACCCGAATGGCGTAGTGGGTAGTGTACCTGCCTCCTGCGCCAAAGGGAGTGGGTTCAATCCCCACTAGACCACTGCTGGAACAATATTGTGTTGAACATACCGTTTTTCTAGTGTCCGGGTGTTTATATATGTACGATATATATTTATTTACAAAAGAAAAGTATGTTCATCAGTTATCTTGTACCCATAGTACAAGTGTTGCTTAGTTTGGGATTAGAGAATGTTGTGAAAAATGTGTCCTAAACATTTATTATTTTATTTATTTTTTTATTAATAAACTTTTGACACAGTACCTCTTTTCGGGACTCCCATAAGGGTTTAGCATCTTAATAACTGGAAGGATTTCATCGTATATCGAAAGTGTTCGTTCAATTTATCAATAAAATAAAATGTAATAAATGAAACCACTTGATATTTAAACAATTGTTTTATTTGTAACGCTATCAGCGAGTTCCAATATATTAACAGCTTATTCATATAGCGCTTTAGTCGTCCTTTACAGCGTAGAGGCTGAAGGGTCCTGAAGAGCCCGGTGCTTGGAACAGCGGACAGCTACGTCGCCACGTGGCTGCCGATATCGCATATGAAGGTCTCAGTGCCTGCAAAGATAAAACATACATAGAAGACCGGTTTCTGAAACACTGGTCATCATAGAGCTAATCAGCTGTCAAATGCAGTGGCGGATTTACCAGCGGGCTAAGCAGGCTTGAGCCTAGGGCGGCAGGTTTTAGCGGCAAACTTGCCCAAAACTATTTCTTACAGGAATTTTTTAAATATTTTGAAGCATCCCTTACCCCGTCTCATAATTAAACATGAATGAGGTTTTAGCTCAGAAATATAGCAATACATTTTTTTTGTGTTATGTACCCTTAATCATGGGTTGTACAATAATCTAGAAACTGACACAACGTAACCCTGGTTTAAAATCATACTAATAACAAGAAAAAACTGATGTAATTAAGACGATGGGGCACAAATCATAAATTTGCTATTTTATTGACAGACTAAATGTAATTAGTATGATTGTGAAATAGGGTGTCGAATTTCAGGAGCGGCAAAACTGAACAGTCTTTTGGCAGTAAATTTGTAAATCCGCCACTGGTCAAATGGCTTGTCAAATGTTATTTAAGTTGCCAAAAGGATGTTCAAACTCTCTGAATGACAATCAGAATCTTAATATAAATTAATCAGAAACTTCTGATAATGATCAGAATGATCAATTCCAAGAGCTTAACCATCCTTTTGGCAACTCAAATGAACATTTAACAAGGCATTTGACAGCTGATTAGTTATGTTCTACGATAACCAGTGTTTCAGAAGGCGGAGACTTCACACCATGGCAGTGCCATGCTTCTCCTGTTGCAGGAATGGCAGCCTCATCCGGGGAAATAACAACAAATGATAGTATTTAGTATTGGACCCAAATGGAGCAGTGAATGGCGGGACTGTCTACTGCGTCATAGTGTGGGTTTGATTCCCACTACTGGAAAAATATTGAGCAATGATCATAGTTTTTTTTCTAGTGTTTGGGTGTTTATATATCTACAATATGTATTTATTTACAAAGGAAAAGTATGTGTATTGGTTACCTTAGTCCCTATAGTACAGGCGTGAAGTGAAAGTGTCATACTTTTTCTTTCCGTCTTGTCAGTAAGAATACTTTATTAGAAGGTGGCAACGCATCTGCAACCCTACGGGTGTTGCAAATGTCCATGGGCGGCGGTCTCAGCCAACATCGGGCGAACGCAAAGGCCACGCGTGGGCGAGTGGGACTAACCGCGGTGGTCCAGCACGTGCCTCCTCAACTCCTTGATGCCGGGGAACTTCCGCTGGCAGATGCGGCACTTATAGTGGTACTCCACCACCTGTCGAAACAAGATCAAATTATTCATTCATCGGTATATAAAAAGCCGGCCAAGCGCGAATCGGTCTCGCGCACTAAGGGTTCCGTACCGTTATCTATGAGAACAGCAAAAAAAAATCTTGTCCGTTGTATGGGAGCCCCACTTTAATAATTTTTTATCCCGTTTTGAAGTATTTGCTGTTATAACGGCAAGAGAATAACCTCATCTGTCAAAATTTCAACTGCCTAACTACCACGGTTCAAGACATACAGCCTGGTGACAGACCGACAGGCAGACAGCAGATACTTAGTAATAGGTTCCCGTTTTACCCCTTTTTTGGATACAGAACCCTATAAACAATTGACCCGATTGGAGTGGGCAGTAGTGAAACTGCCTCCTGTGCCAGAGGTTGTGGGTTCAACCCCACTACTGGAAAAAAATAGTGGGATGAATATAGTGTTTTTCCAGAGTCTGGGGATATATTGTATAATAGTATTTATTTACAAAAGAAAAGTATGGTTACTATATCCAATAATTTTCTAATACCTATAGTGTAATCGTTAGGGTACAGTCCACCAAGCTAGCCTACTACGGTTTGCCAGATACTTTCACATATCTTCCAAACATTTTGTTATTATTTCGAAAATATTCAGGTGATAAGTCAGCACTTCGAATCAATAATTTCATTTGTGTAAGCACGCGGGATACGAAATCAGGTTGATCGAGTAAAATCAATTAAAACCTATAATGGGTTATTTTTAGATAGCCCTGTCAAAATCAATATGTCATCGGCAAGCTCATTTGTCTCAGGGGTAGTCTTAGAGACTTTCACTCGCTTTCAGTCTTATTATGTCCAGAATAATAATAAAAGACGTTAAGTATGTACTATAATGTAATTAGCTAGGTAGCTTAACACAATACGTAAATCGTCCATCCCTTCTGCTATTACCTACACTTATTTAACTTTATTTGACAACAAAGTAAAAAGTACCCACATTTAAGATTATTCATATTGGAACATGACAAGTCTCTAGGGATAATGTTTCACCAAAAGGACCCACCTGGGCCAAAGCCATTGACACAATCCTCTTGTATTTATTCATGTCGTCATTGGAGTGAGACTTAAGGTGCGAAAGCAAACTGTAGACACTTGTGTAGACCTTTGAACAGATCTGGCACTTTATCTCTGTAAAAGAAGTTATTATAACAATTATTATTAATGAAAATGTTAAATTTGCTTTGAAGTATTTGCTTCAAAGTCAAAGTCAAAATTTTTTTATTAAACATAATCCTATTAAAGCTCTTATTCAATGTCAAGAAACTATCACATAACATACAAGTAACCATAACATGTACATATAAGAACCCGCAAAAAAACCCTGCGGTTGTTTTATCTTATTTTTTTAATTATACAGCATGGCGTTACAACTACCACTAACCACTTGCCAATAATAATAAAAAATCCATAATTTAAAAAAAATTATGCTCAAACAAACTAATTAAATAAAAAAGAAACAAAATTTGTAACATACTATACAACTACAACTGATTGGTTCATACATTCAGAAACTTTTTTATTCATTGCCACAACTCCGCATTACAAGTATCTCTTTTAAATTCATTCAACCAATTCATATGCTTTTAATTGTGCGGTTCACATAATGGCACAGAATGACTTAGTTCTGACAACAACATTTGACTATGTGTATTAAAAATTATGTTTTCTAATAGCACATTTGCATTTGCATAAAAAATATATTATAAATAATTTTTTTACGTTTATATTTTTTTAACATTATTGGCAAGTAATGTTAGAAATATGTTCATTTAATGTCGCGGTTGTAACTCCACGCTGTATAAATGTATGGATAATGTCATGCTTAGACTATTATTCAATTTCTTCCATTAAAATCGCACAAAACTTATCTCAAGAGTATAAAGTATTTTTAATTGTTTCCTAACCTACTCTGACTATTCTGGCTTTAATTAATGCATGATCAAGTGAAGACCATAGTAAAAGTTCAGTAAACAAGACAAAAAATGTACACAGTGGTCAGAAATTATCACTCATTGAATCAAAAATACAATGTCATGAATTAACATGAGGATAATAAAAACTTAAAATTTGTAGAAAAAAAGAACGAAAAGTTTCTCGCTGCTGTGGGAATCAAACTTTTAGTACTACAAATTTTAATATTTAATCTCATCATGATAATTATAAAAAATTCAAATGAGGATAATTGCCACAGAAATTTACAGCATACTTTTATCATTCTTCCGGAAGCCTCTCCAGGACACCTGGTAGCAGGGTGCGCAGACCCGGCAGCTTGAAACTTCCTTCATGTATGGCTTCAGTGTATCATCATCTTCATCATTTTCATCAGCATCACTGAAAGAAGTTAAGAGAAATAAATTATGCAACATTTATATCATCATCATTTCAGCCTGTTTGAGTCCATTGCTGAAATAGACCTCCCCCGCAGACTGCCGGAAGAGACCAACCTTAAACCAGCAGTACCGAAAGTTTTAACCAACTAAAAATTTACATTTTACAAAAACAATTACTGTTGTTTTTTATATATCTCAACTTACTCTCACCTATTATTTTTCTCAAACAGCTTGTACACCAATGATAAAGTTTCTTTAGGTTTATAAACAATGAGCCTTTCTCCATCATTAAGGTCTTCTTTAGTTATAATAGCCTCATCGACATGATGATAGGATCTGCGTCTTTTCATCTCAATCAGGCTGTAGTTTAAGACTTTCTTCTCTCTGTATTTTGGCAACACGCATTGCAGTACTTCGGACTTTTGGTCATTTGTCTCATTTTCTACAGTTGTCTTACTCCACACTGTTATTTCAGGCTTACCTGACAATGTAATTGGGATCTGTTAACACCTTAAGGCAGGGTCGGTACTTATTGTATTAAAAGTCATTTTGACAATTTGCATCAAAAGGTTTGATTTGTGGTTTAATTGGTTTAAATGGTTGTATTCATTAAAATTTGTACATAATTTGTAAAAAAAAGTTTCATCTTAAGTGCAAGAGACTGACACTAAAAATTAAAATCTAAGTCCTACTCTGCTTTGATTAAAACATATTGCATGTAATTTTTTTTTAAACCATATATCAACAGTAATTTAAAATTATGTTATTATTTTAATTTATACTAACCCGTGAGTTTATTTGTAATATTTCTTAGAATAACTGTCCTCTTAGATGACACAGTCTCACCCGTCTCAGGTCGAAACGCTGTGTCGCTACGCTCAAAATGTTCCAAACACAAGTTGTTCCAGGTCCTGAGCTTCTTCGTGTCACTTTCATCCCTTTTAATGGCACGAACGGGCAAACACAGAGGGTCTTCGTAGTCGGGGATCCGAATATCGAAATGCTTACGGGGCAGCAGTTCATCCTTAGCAACTTGTAGCTTTTTAATTACTTTACGCGGACCGTACTGTCTGATCTCTGCTTGACTAGACTGACCATAAGATTCATACTTTGAAGATTTGACCGAGGTATTACGCAGCACCTTCTGTGTCTTTTTCTTCTTACTCTTCTGTGGTATATATTTAAAAGGTTCATAATCAGAATCTTCCTCTTCTACTTTCCTCTTTTTCCTAGGCCTTCCTACCGGTCTTCGCTCTACAAGTACTGGAACTTGTATCTCGACTTTCTGATCTGGAATTTCATCGACGGGTTGAACACATTGATGGACAATTTCGGCATCTTCATCCAAAAATTCTATTTCGCCATCATCTTCTTCCATGTCTCTAAGTTATCAGTGTATATCCGGTAATTAATAAGTAAACATTATTCAAAAGTGAAGACCATGCCACCACAACACAAACAGAATAAATATAATGTTAATTTAAAAACATATTTTGATATTTCGATATTTATCGTACCGACATTTGGAAAAAGTATCGATGAATATCGCGTGAAAATATCGATATATCGTCTTGTTATCGCATGATTATTAAATATACATTTACATGACATGACTGAAAATTCGTAAAAAGATGACGAAATGAATTTTTTTGGCTGGATGAGCCACTGTTGGCCTTAGGAGCCTTAACAGATCCGACGGACTTGAGGGGGCCGGGCGCTCGAGGCGCCTAGCCTGAACCTCGCGTATTATTGTTACGCGTTAATGTGACTAAGCTCAAGGGCTCCCGAGGGAACCTCGGCTCGGGCCGTCACGCTATTAATTTCACCGGTTTGGGAGGCCGCCAAGCTCTTAGGGCGCTTTGGCGGACGCTCCATGGAGTGATCAGGCACAAGGGTCCCCGAGAGGGGACCTCGGCTCGATCGGTAGCTGTTGGGGGGATCTCTAGAGCTATCGTTACTACTACTTCGTAAAGCGTTGGCGCTGGGAGAAGAAGTGGCGGAAGAAACTCCAGCAACGCTTCTATCATTAATATGGGAGAACCTGCCTGGTACGTGGCGGAACCTAGTATATGTTTGCCGCACTCGCCGGCGAGTTGTTTAATCCTTTCGATGGCGATAGTCGTCTCATCGTCAGGGAAGTCGAGAGCGTGTCGCGGTCTACGGTGATTGCGGCGGAACGTACCTAGCGGCATGGGTCTGTAGGTGACGGCACCTACGATTACCGGGTTGGGATGCGCGGTGGCGGAATCGAAATATCGGTGCGACGCCGACTTCAGGATTTGAGCGACGGTGGGCAACTCTAAATCGACATGTAGGTCGATGTTGCGCATGAACCAGGGTACTCCCGTGGCTCTGCGCAAGAATCGATTTTGGATAAGCTGAAGCCGGTGTATTTGCTTCGGAGCAATGTGCGCGAAAACCGGACTCGATAAAATCGTTTCGAGTTTAATGTTCCTTTATAGCCAGAGTTGCTTTAGAATATATCGAAATTGACACGAATTCGATAGTTGTTTAAACTAAATATCGAATATCGATATATCGCATAACATCGAATTGTATGGGAAAATATCGAAAATATTATGCATCGATATTTATTTCCCACGCCTAACTCACCCTGATGAAGGACTTAAGATAGGTCCGAAACTAGTCGATACACCGATTTGATGTGAGTTCTGCCGTTTTATTATTTCGTTAATAATGTTTTACAGGGTTTGAATAATTATTAAGGTTTCGTAGTCAAAGGGTAAAACGTGACCCTATTACTGAGACTCCGCTTTTGCCGTTATAACAACAAATACTAAAAAACAGAATAAATAATATATATGTGAGGCTCCCTTGGCCAGTTTTTATTTAATTCTTCTTAACTAAAAGTTTTCATAATTAAATTTCGTAAGTTATTACTTACGAAATTTAATTATGAAAACTTCCATGTTGGTATGTCTTATGATTAAATTGAAATTTCGAACTTGTGAACTCTAGTGAACTGGAATCGCGTAACGAGACACGTACTTATCGAGAAAAGTTAGTCCATTAAAATTGATATAATATAGTTATGTAGAGTATGATTGACGTCCCTTAATAGAAGGCACAACCAAAGACCTTACACTTACTAACTAGACTGTGCGAACACAAAGGCGAAAAAACCGGTCCGCGTGAGAGGGCTCTCGTTATTAGTGTATCCTTTTCTAATAAGATGACCTTGATAAAACAGAACACAGGAAAAATTGCTTGTAAAAACGATTGTTTAAGTATCATCATATATTGATGCTACCTAACTACTCTACCTATGCCTACTTCATTTATTGTTTGTATATTTTTTTAGAATCTATCTCTCATTTACCCAACACGAGGGTTAAGGGTTGGAAGTACTTTTTTCCTCTGTTAAACAGATACCTATTGTAAAACAGAGTCTGTTTTACAATAGGTATTATCTGATATACCGTCAAGTTCATAAGTATAAGATCTTTGGGCACAACTAGGGATAGTAACAAATATACCGATACATGATCATTGTTCGCATGATTATGCATAGACATGAATAAAATTGTTGAAAAGAAGTTTTAAAGTTAACTGCGCGAGGAGCATGCAGAGTATCCAGTAACATTAAACACGAAACTATAGTTGCTAGAAAAAAAATATCGAAATTGACATGAGTTCGATAGACAGAAATAAATGTCGAATATTGCGATAAAGAAATCGATATTTTTTGCCCATGCACATGCCTACGCAGTACGCAAAACGACGACGCAAGAGAATCTTGTCAACATGTCGGACAAGTTAGTGTTTTTCTTTATATTTGAAATAACAACAAATAACTTTGTTAACTGCTTTGTAATGTGCCATTTTTCCGTTTCATGTGTAGTAATGTTTTATGGGTAGTGGTTAATACGATTATCGTTCTCATAATTGCTCGAAACACAGTGTGTCTACGTGATCGCCCATGTGTTTTGAGTTTTAAAGTTGTCTCTTTTGTCTACAGTGAGGATTTACTAGGCGATGATCTTGGTGATCAAAGTCTAGCTGATTACAATTTGGGCAACGAGGAGGAGGAACAGCTCCTAGCAGACGATTATGATAATAATGCGTCGCAAAATGTCCCCACATCGGCTGCTGTCAACTATCGTGAAAGGATTGATATGGTTCCTACTGAATATCCAAGTCATAATATCGAATATGTTCCGGTAAGTTTACATGAAGCTTGATTGATTACCCTTTACTTAATATATAAATGTAACTTTATGAAAGGTATGTTTAACATATGCTTTCAGTACCCATATGTGACCTTATGTATATTTGGTTAATGTAAATAACTTTAACTCCGCCGTAATTCAATTAAAATAAATTTTAAACGATAGAGAAAACTCTAATGAATTAATCAACAAGCAGAATTCGGCGGTCGCTTATAGTTTTCGAAAAAATAAATAATGAAATAGTGTGATTTTTACTATAGAAATCCGCCATATTTTGTCATTTATGATACAGATAGTGAAATACAATTGCGAGACTTGATTTCATCTAAAAACAATATTAAAAGCAATCATCAATTTGATGTTAGCACCAGGTTACAAATTGGGGTTACTATGATTATATTGCATTAAAACCAAGCACCTAGATGCAGCTATTATGGCAAAAATATTGTGAAATGAAAACAACACAGATAATTAATTTTCTGTATTAAATTATGGAAAATTACACTACCACTGTCTAAAAAATTAATTAAAATTCCTTTTTATTTACATTGCACATTAAGATCTGTATATCAATTAGCTACAAAAAGTTTGTATGTTTTAGGTAGTCGTCTATACATAAAAAAATGGCTTTGTTGATTATTAACTTTGACTTTCAGCAACAAACTCCATACCCAGCGGCCACAGACAGTGAATGTGTTGTTCCCAACATAACTGTAGAAGTACCGAATGTTACATTACCGGAACACTCAACATATGCCCCATACCCAGAGGCCCCAGTTTTTGAAACTGAGCTGGCTGTCGTTCCACCAGCAATTGTGAGTTAAATTACCTTGGTATATGGTTATAGACCACTGAATGAAATATGAACACATGAACATAGAAATATGTTTGTAATTTTATGATATACTGCCCTGATAATGAAATTATTGGGTTTCATAAGGCATTATTAACATAATAATAAAATGGCTAAACTCACATACAATTGGTGTATTTAGTGACTAGTTTCGGACTTACTGTTGGTCCTTCATAAGGGTGAATGTGATTGTGGTCACGCCCCATAAACAAACAGTTGTGATTTAAGAAAATATGATATATGACAATATTAATAACTAGTACCAAAAGTGCATAATTCTAGAAGGTCAACAGCAATATTAAAATAATATTACATAATATATGTTTATATGGCATCTTATTACATTAGAATCGGCTATAAATCTGAGTTAAGATGTTTTATATCTTAAACATCCATAATGATCTTGCTATTTCTCAGTACACTTCTACCTCACAGAACACCAGCGTGAAGTAGAAGTGTTACACTTCTGCATTTTGTCTGAGGTAACCAGGGCCTACTTTTAATAAAGTGACAATGCATCTGCAAAACCCAAAGGGTGTTGCAAATGAGAATGGGCGGCGGTTCTCATTTAACATCAGGTGAGCCGCTTGTTTGCCACCTTCTCACATAAAAAAATAAAACCATTTACACTTATTGTGAAAAGTTATTCTGTTGGCTGCATCTGGCAAGTTTTCCAAATACACAAACACATTTTTAGGTTATTCTTTACTTGTTTCACAGCCGGCTGCACCAGTGGAGTCACCACAAATAGTACCCTCAGAAGTGACTGCCCCAGTTCCCAGTGAGTAATACCTAAATATGTTAAAACAATTCTTTCTATGTTTTCTTTTTTTTTAATTGATAACATTGTTTTTCCATACTTTATTATTATTTCTACATATTTATCTCGTACACTTTACAGACGGAGACCTGGGAGGGCCCAGAGAAAGGTTCACTACAGAACGGCCTCCAGGTGTTCAGAGAATGCCTCAAGTCAGAGATATACCCGATAGCTTAGGTGAGGAAAATGTTATGTGCCTGCTTGCTCATTTTACTTTTCACTGATATTACTAACTTTACTGTAGCTTGCATTACAGTTTTTATTTTTAGATATTTTTTATTATTTTTTAGATATTTTTTTTGTTTCATTTATTTTATCTCATTTTTTTCTCTTATTAGCAGCTTAATTTTTTTTAAATGCATTGTTTGTTGCTAAACTGCTCAAATATATAGTATATTTTAACTATAAAATGTAAAACCTTTCTTGACTGTAAGTTAAGCATATGTATATACATGTATAATTAACTAAGGGCATGTGGATTTGCCTAATAAAATATCTGCATAGTGACTTATCTG